TTTTATAATATTTTTAATAGTAAATTTATACTTTATATAAAAATTTCAAATAAATATTCAATAAAGATAGAGACATGTCCTTACCATTAATATTAAAAAAAAAAAACTTTGTAAGTGCTAGTGTGTTACCAGACCAAGAAAGTACACATTTATGTAATATAAATATACCATCATATTGAATATTGGGACATTCTATTCTTTCTTTTAATAGACATAATTCTGCAACAGCAGGTAATAAGAAAGAATTTAGATCTTTTAGTGCTTTAAATCCAGGTATAATTGTAGATATGGGAAGGTTTTCTTTTTTTATACATTGATCTAAAGGTAGATTAGCATTTATAAATAATAAAATCCAGCAATTATCTATTTTTTGTTTAAAAATCTAAAAGCCATCAATTGATGCTAATAATGCAACATCATAGTCATCTTTGAAATATCTTTTTTTACAAGGTTTTTATATCTTTGACTATCATATACATCTCTGATTACTTCAGTATTATAGTATTCTGGCATTAAGGTATATTTTGCATAATAGTATAAATTTTTTGATTGAGTTTTATCCTGATATTGAAATATGAGATAGTCAACAATTGGAAAATATAGAAAATAATGATGTGCTTTATGTTTTTTGTTTTTATAAATTTTATTTTAACATCATTCTTTTTTACAATAAGGACATTCATTGAGATTTTTAAAATCACCTATATAAGTACAACATGAATTAATACACATGTCTATTCATGTAGGCTTAAATAGGATAAATAATAATAACTTTTGTTTAATTAAGTACAAGCTCATTGGCTTTATTATTGTAGCATTTATAATTTTATAAAATGCTTTATTAGTAAGGTTATGTTGTACTTTAATTTTAAGAAATCAAATCATAGAAACAAGTTTAGAGGATATAAAAAGTTCTATTTAGTAAAACAAAATTTTAAAATTTTATTGTTATTTTTTTTAATATATATTTAAATTTAATCAATAATTTTAATCATATTTATTTATTTATTATTAATAAAATGGATGTTATAATTAAAATATTACCTTCATAATCTGCAAAAGTCATATTGGTTATACATAAATTATTACTTTCACTACTCTTATTTTCTGACCAATCCTCAAATTCCTCATCAATTTCTAAACAGTTTTCAAAATTAATATTGTTTTTTTACTCATTTTCATCACTATTTCCTAATTCATATCCAAATTTGATATTATTTTCCAACTTATATTCAGATTTATCAATACTTTCAAATCTTTCAAGTTCATTATTTTTTTCTAACCAATTCTCAAATTTGTTTATACTTTTCAACCTATCATTGTTTCTTAACTCATTATCAAATTCACTAATATATTCAATATGATAAAGTTCATGCTCAAATATTTTTTGGTAAAAGTTACATGAATCTTGCTTCTGAATACTGCTTTGCAATTCCAAATTACTATTAGAACTTAGTGCATTTTGTTTATCATGATTTTGATGTCTAGCTTTGGCACTTTTTAGTTTTCAAGAACCACTATCATCATTCAGCAAGCAAATACTGCAAGTACATCAAACCAAGGTTTCAGGCATTATTTTTTTTAACAAATTTTTATTAAAAAAAATTATAATTATAAATTAACAAAATATCTATATATAGTATACATTATGGTATATATAAATTAATATAAAAACTAACCTGATTATTTAAAAAAAAAAGATCCTAATGCTATATGTTTAGCTCAGAATTTTGATATTAATTTTCTGTTTCTTAAAACAAAAATGCCCAAGACTCAAATATTCTTTTTAATTTAAAATTAAAATAAATCATAGCTTTGTAATTATAATTCTGTATCAATCCTATTTACTAATAACACCCTTTTTAATCGATCTTAACCAACACCCACAGTCAACTTTTTATTAATATAATATGTCAAGGCATGTATTTGATTTACTACTTTAAAAAAAAAAAAATTGATTTTTTTATTCAATTTTGATATTGCAAAAAAATAGGCTCTGTATACATTAGCTTCATCTAATTTAACTAATAAGTATACTGTAGTTCTTATTGGTAGGTTGTAATGTAATTATTAGTTAAATCAGGCTAAATTAGGTTAATCAAGAGTTTATACATGCAGAGTTTATTTTTTTAATATATATTACCATATTTATTAATCAATATATAAAATACATCAGATCAACAGTATAGTAGTCAATATGTATTTGAATAAAAGAAAAAGAAAATAATAATCAGTAAATTTCTTTTCTAATTTAAAAAAAGAATAAGATAAATACAAGATAAATACATATCATTACTGCAAATAACTGATATATATAAAGTTAGATGAATGGTTTCTTTAGATTTAGTATGTTTCAGTTAAACCTTGGCTAATTCTTGCTTCTCAGAAATAAGACCTTTTCAAATTTGTTATTTTTTCTTGAAGGATATATTTTTTATTTGGACTCTATGATTTGATATACAAGTTGATGTTATAGAAAGTGTTCATTAAAGTTGATTAATTGAAAGTCCATTATTAAAAAAACCTACCTACCATATTTCTGAAATTGACCATAATCTATTATTTATTCTGCAACAATAACTCATAATTATAAAAAAAGAACATATGTGAATAATAATATTGCAAATGCAAGTAATAGAGAAGATATAACTTAGTCTATTTCAGAGTCTGAAACAGACAGAAGTGAGCAAAATTCTAGTATTAAAGATAATTTGCTTTCAGAAACAAATCAACTTTCAGCTTTACTTAAACAATTAGAAACTTTAAAGAAACTTCAAGCTACTAATAATAAAATTAACAATCAAAGAATTGAGCTCATTCTAGATGACACCAATAACAATATATCTAAAAAAAACAAAGAAATAAAACTCCAAAACTAATAAGAGAAATCACAAGAATGGTTTTAGTTCAGAAACAGAGAGTATTAGTAATGAAGATTCTATTGTATATATTTAATAACTTTAAATGATTTTACTATTACATAATTCTAAAAGACTGTTTTTATGATTTAAAAGCTAGTGTTAATCAAAAAACCAAGTAAGGCAACATATATCAATATTCCTAAATTTCTTAAAATCAATAAGCCTATATATAATAGTTATCAGATGATAATATTATTATTTGTGTTTTTATTAATCTTTTATTTATTTTAATTTATAGTTTAATTAATTTATTTAATTTATTATTCTAGGAATCACTTCATTTAATGATAACAGCTAAATATGAGAAGAGTGTTTCTAAATATTGCAAAATATCAGAAAATAAAAAAAATAAAATTATTAGAAGAGTAAGTAAGATCTGTAATTCAATTGTTTTATTAATATTATTTCAAAATAATAAACCCAAGTATTCTGTTAGTTTAAATGCAAAATCCAAGATTTTCTCTTATAGCTTGTGACTGGACTATTAAATGAATGATGAAAAGAATAATTAACAATAAACATTCATATGCATTAGTTAAAATTAAAATATTTACTATATTAAATAGTATGCTTTAACTGCTATTTAATATGTCAAAATTTTAATCTTGACTAGTAAATAAGTAATATTATATAAAATTATAAAAATCTAATTTGGCTTATTCTTCAAGTAGGAGATACAGAAAAATGCAAGATGAATAGTCATTTAACTTATAACAGCAAAAAAATAATAATAAAGATATAATATATTATTTATTATTATTTTTTATAAACTTATTTATTTTTTTATAAATAAAGATTTTTCACTAGAATGTATGAATTCTTTGAAGAATTCATATTTAGACTTGGAACTAGTGAAAATAGATTATAATAAATTATTAATATAAATATTGCTATTATTAATTTTTGTTTTATTCAGATTATCAATAATAATCATCTTTTAAAAGTTACTAGAACTTCAAGTTCAGAAAATCGTACAAGATTGATACTGATTCTGGTACAAATTCTGTCTCCTGCATATATTAATTACTCTTCAACAACCAAATGCCAATGAAGTTCAAGACATCAGTTTAGATTATACCAATGAAGCATCAGAGATACCAAGTAAAAAGTCTCAAAATTCTGGTTACAGTTGCATGTTATGTTCCAAGTATATTAATATACTGTAATAGTTATAGATATTCAAAAGACTAATTATTTTATTATAATATCGATTACTTTAATTTATATTATTATTATTTAATAAATTTATACTAAAACCTGAAACAACAATCCTGTTAAAAAAGCTACTGAAGCTAAAACCTGAAGTAATAATCTTGTTAATGAGACTACTAAAGCTTCAAACATTAATAATAATGCTAAAAAAAAAACTCTTTCTACAAATCCTTTACACAAATCTTAACTAAAAATTTATTCATATAAAAACATTTATAACTATTTATTTTACTAAGTTAACTTGCTTTTGGCTCTTATGAAAACTTGTTCAGTATTAAATTT